GCTGCGGCCAACAGCATTAGAGTAGTCCGAAAAAATATCATTTAATATATGACAACTTGATGGTGTGTGCAACCACACAAGTGTACCAACATAACAAACAACATAAAAGAGCCACACCCCAAAATTCTTATTCGTCCTTCTTGTAATGAGTCTGCGTAATTCATAAGTGCTTATATTAAATTTATTTATATAAAGATAGTAATTTAAACTCATACAATTATTAAACATAATTTACTAATGACTACATACATTATGTCAAATTTAACTTCTTTGAAATGCATTGTGCGTTAAACTTTCACGAAATTGTAAATTCCATTTATTGTACCGTCATTAGTAATTCCACACAATTAAGTAAATGTTTTTACCTGCCTGTGTAGTATAAAACAAACACCGACCACGGCAATGTACCTATCCCGCCTACACTACGCTACCAAGGAACAGGACATTGTTGACTACATCCGGACTAAAAGCAACCTGACATTTAGGGTGACGCAGTTGGAATCGAGCCACAACGCGAGCTTCAAAGCGTTCGTGGCCCTGGTCCCCACCAATATGCTGCCCACCTTCATGAAGGAGGACTACTGGCCGAAGGGGTGGTCTATCGGCGCTACCGTGGCAGATTGCCGTCGTCAGTGCCGTGACCATAGAGACAATTTTATTTTACATATTTGATTATTATTTCTTATGTATGTTAGTCTATAAGGTATTTATAATATGGGCCATGTAGCCTGAATTAAATAAATAAATAAATAAAATAAATAAATAGTTACTATTGTTATTAGAGCGGTATTGTGTCAGTCTAGTGCCCATAACACAAGCATTAGCTGGTTAACTTGGGTCTAGATGGCGCTGTGTGAATTGTCGTAAGATTATTATTATTTTATTATTCTACAATTGGAATGCAGACTCATCACAAGAATAATTTAATGAGATATTTGCGAGGTTTTCGAATTTCTTGATTTGATGGTTTCACTGTTGCCATTATAAAATATTGAAACACTCAGTTGACATGTTAAAACTCACTCAACACTCATGGTTGCCTGGTAGATAACGCTGCAAGGTGTTAAGTCCGCCATATGTACACGTAGTTTTTGTGCATTAAAGTTAAATAAATAAAATAAAACTCTGTCACTGGGTTTGAATTTGTTGTCATTAACATTTTTTTATATAGTGAATATTTCTTCATTTTTCTAGAATCGTCTGGTTTGTCTATTAGTTGTAGCAGTCAGATACTCAGTAGACATGTCACAATTCTGTCACTGGGTATGAGATTGTTGTCACTAAAAGATGTTACTCAGTTTTTAATATAGTGAATATTTCTTCTGTTTTAGTTTTCTAGACTCGTCTGATTTGTCTATTAGTTGCAGCAGTCAGATACTCAGTAGACATGTCACAATTCTGTCACTGGGTATGAGATTGTTGTCACTAAAAGATGTTACTCAGTTTTTAATATAGTGAATATTTCTTCAGTTTTAGTTTTCTAGACTCGTCTGATTTGTCTATTAGTTGCAGCAGTCAGATACTCAGTAGACATGTCACAATTCTGTCACTGGGTATAAGATTGTTGTTGCTAAAAGATGTTACTCAGTTTTTAATATAGTGAATATTTCTTCAGTTTTAGTTTTCTAGACTCGTCTGGTTTGTCTATTAGTTGCAGCAGTCAGATACTCAGTAGACAAGTCACAATTCTGTCACTGGGTATACGATTGTTGTCACTAAAAGATGTTACTCAGTTTTTAATATAGTGTGTTCTTTTGTTTTATTTTTTGAGATGTAACTAAACAATATAGTGAATTATTCTTTTGTGATATTTTCTAGAATCTTCCGGTTTGTCTATTAGTTGTTGCAGTCATGTACTCAGTAGACATGTCAAAATTCTGTCACTGGGTATAGATTGTTGTTACTAAAAGACATTACTCAGTTTTTAATATACAGTGTGTTATTCTTTTGTTTTATTTTTATGAGATGTAACTGACAAAGTTTCCTAATTTTATAATATATTTTTTTCAGCTTTATTTTTCTAGAATAGTCTGGTTTGTCTATTTGTTGTAGCAGTCACTAACTCAGTAGACATGTCACAATTCTGTCACTGGGTATGAGACTGTTGTTATTAAATGACATTACTCAGTTTATAAGTTTTTTCTTTCTCAGCTTTATTTTTCTAGAATACTCTGGTTTATCTATTAGTTGTAGCAGTCACAAATTCAGTAGACATGTCACAATTCTGTCACTGGGTATGAGATTGTTGTTGCTAAATGACATTACTCAGTTTATAAAATAGTGTTTTTGTTTTCAGCTTTATTTTTCTAGAATCGTCTGGTTTGTCTATTAGTTGTAGCAGTCACAAACTCAGTAGACATGTCACAATTTTGTCACTGGGTATGAGATTGTTGTTACTAAATGACATTACTCAATTTATAAAAGTGTTTAAGCTTTATTTTTCTAGAATCGTCTGGTTTGCCTATTAGTTGTAGCAGTCACAACCTCAGTAGACATGTCACTATTCTGTCACTGGGTATAGATTGTTGTTACTAAAAGACATTACTCAGTTTTTAATATACAGTGTGTTCTTCTTTTGTTTTATTTTTATGAGATGTAACTGACAAAGTTTCTTAATTTTATAATATATTTTTTTCAGCTTTATTTTTCTAGAATCGTCTGGTTTGTCTATTAGTTGTAGCAGTCACAAACTCAGTAGACATGTCACAATTCTGTCACTGGGTATGAGACTGTTGTTATTAAATGACATTACTCAGTTTATAAGTTTTTTCTTTCTCAGCTTTATTTTTCTAGAATACTCTGGTTTATCTATTAGTTGTAGCAGTCACAAACTCAGTAGACATGTCACAATTCTGTCACTGGGTATGAGATTGTTGTTATTAAATGACATTACTCAGTTTATAAGTTTTTTTTTTCAGCTTTATTTTTCTAGAATAGTCTGGTTTATCTATTAGTTGTAGCAGTCACAAACTCAGTAGACATGTCACAATTCTGTCACTGGGTATGAGATTGTTGTTGCTAAATGACATTACTCAGTTTATAAAATAGTGGTTTTTTTTTCAGCTTTATTTTTCTAGAATCGTCTGGTTTGTCTATTACTTGTAGCAGTCACAAACTCAGTCGACATGTCATAATTCTGTCACTGGGTTTAAGATTGTTGCAACTAAAAGACGTTACTCAGTATTTAATACAGTGAATTTTTCTTTTTTAGACAGACAGACAAAAATTGTAAAAAATGTTATTTTGGTGTATGTACCGTATTTATATTAGTATGCATGTAGTAAAATACTGTATTATGTTGTCTGTTAGTCATAGCAGTTACAAACTCAGTAGGCATGGCGACTGGGTATGGGATTGTTGTTAGTCGGATACATTAAAATTTGGTAATTTCTTCTGTTATATTGTATATTATATTTTGTTGCATTTTATTTATCATTTATTATATGCCGCCAACAATTATTCTCTGCACCAGCTATGGTTGCCTGGTAGAAAATGCCGCATGGTCTTCAGACCGCCAAATGTACTGTACTATTATTGTGCATTGAAGTTAAATAAATAACTCTGCCACTGGGTGAGAGAGTGTTGCCATTAAGAGACACCAAAATTAGTGTATTTTTCCTGTTACTTGAATCATTACACACGGATGTACGTCTGTTAGTCATAGCAGTCACAAACTCAGCAGGCATGTCAATAACTCAGTCAGTGGGTATGACATTGTTGTGACTAAGAGACGTTATAATTTTGTGATTTTTTTCTGTTATTTTATTCACTGGTTACACGGCTCTACTGTCTATTAGTCATAGCAGTCACAAACTCAGTAGGCATGTCAATAACTCAGTCACTGGGTATGAGATTGTTGTCACTAAGAGACGTTATAATTTTGTGATTTTTTTCTGTTATTTGATTCACTGGTTACACGGCTCTACTGTCTATTAGTCATAGCAGTCACAAACTCAGTAGGCATGTCAATAACTCAGTCACTGGGTATGAGATTGTTGTCACTAAGAGACGTTATAATTTAGTGATTTTTTTCTGTTATTTGATTCACTGGTTACACGGCTCTACTGTCTATTAGTCATAACAGTCACAAACTCAGTAGGCATGTCAATAACTCACGTCACTGGGTATGAGATTGTTGTGACTAAGAGACGTTATAATTTTGTGATTTTTTCTGTTATTTGATTCACTGGTTACACGGCTCTACTGTCTATTAGTCATAGCAGTCACAAACTCAGTAGGCATGCCAATAACTCAGTCACTGGGTATGAGATTGTTGTGATTAAGAGACGTTACTCAATTTACATTTAATTTTTCAAAGTACAATTTTATTTTATATATTCTATACTTTTTTATATAATCTAGGCTTGTCTTGTAGCTGTAGCAGTCACAAACTCAGCGGATATTTTTTTTTTTTATAACACAGGGGACAAACGAGCATGTGGCTCACCTGATGGTAAGTGATTACCGCCGCCCATGAGCACCCACAACACCAGGGGAATTGCAAGTACGTTGTCGGCCTTTTAAAAAGGAATAAGCTCTTTTCTCGAAGGTTTCAATATCGTATCGGTTCGGAAATACCATTGCTGGAAGGTGATTCCACAATGTGGTTGTGCGAGGCAAAAAGATGTGTGAGGATATGTCAGTAACTCAGTCACGCGGTATGAAATTGTTGTAACTGAGTTATGAATTTTATTTTTATTTTGTATTTTTGAACTTGACTGGGTTACATTAGTTGTAACTGTCACAAACTCAGTAGATATGTCACAAACTCAGTCGCTGGATATGAAATAGAGATAATCTTTATTCAAATAAACTCAATACAAGCACTATTAAATAGTCATATTTTTTATTCTACCACTCATTAGGAACGTAGACTCATCACAAGAAGAATGAGCATGAAAGTTGTGTGTTGCTCTTTTAAATGAAGATTTAGTTGATTTATTGAATCAGTGTTGTAAATGTACGCTATTATTGAACTGCAAGTAAAATTTAACACTTACCTTATTAGTGAGACATTCTTGGAAGTCCTTCTTCATCACGGACACGGAGACGCGGTCCTGGGGTCTCTTGGGTCCACTTACTGACGTCACAACTGTCGACAGATCCAATTCTACCACCTGGAAATGGCATCAAGTTTTCTTTTACTATTCAATCAAAATATCTTTATTCATGTAGGTCTATTACAGACTCTTATGATATGTCAAATCTACCGTCAGTTCGGAATGATTTCGAGATGAGAAGAACTGACAAGAAACTCAGTTCAAACAATGTTTACAACAATACAGATTCATTCTAAAATTCGAAGAGGAAAAGAAAGGAAGTAAATGTCGCGATGACTGAGAACAGGGATGAATGGAAGCGAAAAACATATTACGCCGACCCCAAATAAATGGGATAAGGAAGAAGCAGATGATGATCATTCTAAAATTCGAGAGAATAAAGTGCACTAGGGGCACTTTATATAATTAAAATATATTGGTTTCTTTATATAAATAGAATCGTAAAATCGTGCCTGCTATTTGTTTATTAATATATCACTTTACAGTATCTGGAAGGTTACTTCATATATTTATATTATTTTCTTTAATTGTGCTACCATTATCATGTGTGAGACCACAAACAGTCAGTGCGGAAATCTGACCACCGCTGCTGGAAGCATTACTTCTATGGGTGATCAAATTCCGACCGTGATTGACCACCTATCTACACCGACCGCCATCTACACCTATTGTATTGTATGTTGGACTCCAGTCTCCGCAATTAGCCTCTCATTCGGGCCGTTGTGCGTGCAGAGCCAGACTACTAAAGTAGCCAGCCAAGCTCCTCCCAAAAGCGCAGAAGACTCCTGGTGTTTTCACAGGCTTCACGGAGCGACCTCACCGTTCCGAGGATTTGTTTCCGTTGTTGGGCCACTGCCGTGCACACCAGGATTACGTGAGCCGCCGTTTCTTCAGCTTTAAAGCAGCCCCGACAAAGGGGACTGTCTGTAGCATCAATTTTGTATAAGTTTGTTTAAGGAACAATGGCCCGTTATTGTTCCTATCATTATTTTAAGGTTATGCCTATCTACACCTATATTACGATGTGTTTTGCCTCTGAACGGGGCATTATCAAGCGTTGTATGAAATTTTATTATAGCTTGGAAGCCTAGTTGATTGTTTGGTCGTCAAATTCTGACCATCATCACATAGTGTTACATATCACATGGACCGTCAGCGTAATGCCGTTTTAATACATATGTACACAAATATTCAGTTTCAGTAATTTGAAGAACAGTTCACATTGGAAGTTCAATGGACTTCCGCAACCAATAAAGTATTTAATAACTAGAGATGCACATAATTCGAGTTAACTCGAGAAGAATTCAACTGGTAATGAATGAATCAAGTGAAAGAGCGAGAGCATGATTCTGTCTTCGAACTGACAATGAGATGAAATTTTCCGATCATTTCATATCATACAATTTTCAATATTTAAATTATTAACCATGTCTTAACACGAATAATTTTATGGCAAATAAAGGTTTACCTCTCAGGTGTTAAGACCCGGTTAATAATTTAAATAATGTATATTAAACACGAAAGTTTAAAATTAACTATACAATCTTCACTCGTCACAAATATTTCAATATTGATTTGACCCCATTGCTAGCAATGTACCATGTCAGGTTGACCTCCACGCGGTTCCCCCTGGAAACCATCGTGATAAATGCTTAGTGAATTTGTCACGATGGGCTAACTGACCTGACCTCATGCTCATCTTATCATCCTCCACTGGTGCCCCGCCAGCGTAAACCGTTAGCGCCGGCGTGTGAGGAGTCATTCCATTATCATCCATAAAAAAATAATATTGATTTGAGGTTCTTATTTTTATTTTCGCATATTCGTCCGGTTATCTTATTATTAAAATGATTATGCGTTCTATAAGTCCTTCCGCGGCTTTGAAGTGTCATTTCTACTCGCCCCCTATAGTTCGGTGAAGCTTTCAAGGCTAGCTGCGCCCAAAAATATTAGAAATGTTCGAAATAATAAAAAAAACCTTTTATTCCAGGTAACTCGAGTCAACTCGCGTCAACTCGAGTAAACTCGAGTTACCTGAATTTCAACTCGAGTTAACTCGAGTCATGTCTATTACGAGTTAGCACATCTCTATTAATAACTACATAACAAAGTATTTTTTTTATATAAATACATATAACATATACGTAGAAAACAGGATGTTTGAGCTATTTCCTTTGGTTTAACAGTTGTTTTATTTGGCAATGGCTACTTTACCTCAGAGAAAATAGGATCTTCATTCGCGTTATTGTAATCTCTGAATTGCTTCGTTGCTCGTAGATATTCCTCAATCAGCTTTATCTTGCTGCTATCACGATCTGAAATTTAATAATTGTATCTGAAATTGAATAATTGTATCTGAAATTGAATAATTGTATCTGAAATTGAATAATTGTATCTGAAATTGAATAATTGTATCTGAAATCTAAATTGTAGAGACGGCCTCGGTGGTCTAGCGGTGTAGCACATCGCTTTACTTCCGATTGTCGCGCGTTCGATTCCTCGCCCGGTGCAAACATCCCGCGTACACTTATATTGTGGAATGAACTACCTGCGAAGCTTTCTTTAGCGACGACGGCATGGGGTTTTTCAAGAAGGGTATATTAAGGCTTCTTAAGGGTCGGCAACGCGCAAGTGATACCCCTGGTGTTTCAGGCGTTCATAGGCTACGGTAACCATTTACCATCAGATGGGCCGTATGCTTCATTGCCACCATCGTAGCATAAAAAAAATGTGGTAATTAACATATCAAGATGTACTTAAATCAAATCAAATCAAATCAGCAAATCAAGATTTTTTTATTAATGTTTTTTCCTACCGACACCCCTAGTGTTTCAGGCATCCATAGGCTACGGTAACCGTTAACCATCAGACGGGCCGTATGTATGCTTGTTTAGTACCATTGTAGTATAAAAAAGCCTCTGCCTACCCCATCTGTCATCAGACGGGCCGTATGCTTGTGTACCACCATCGTAGCATAAAAAAAATGTGGTAATTAATATATGAAGATGTATTTAAATCAAATCAAAAAATTAAGATTTTTTATTAATGTGTTTCCCTACAGATACCCCTAGTGTTTCAGGCATCCATTGTTTTCAACCATCATAGAATTTTTTTTATAACACAGGGGACAAACGAGCATGCGGCTCACCTGATGGTAAGTGATTGCCGCCGCCCATGAGCACCCGCAACACCAGAAGAATTGCAAGTACGTTTTCGGCCTTTTAAAAAGGAATAAGCTCTTTTCTTGAAGGTTTCAATATCGTATCGGTTCGGAAATACCATTGCTGGAAGGTGATTCCACAATGTGGTTGTGCGTGGCAAAAAGTTTCTAGAAAACCGCACTGTGGAGGACCGCCATTCATCCAGATGATCAGGATGGTATTTCAGTTTCTGGCGGGTGGTGCGGTGGTGAAACTCAGCAGCTGGTATTAATCCGAACAATTCCTCAGAACACTCCCCGTGATATATGCGGTAGAAAATGCACAGAGATGCAATATCTCGCAGCAAAGTATAAAAAGTCGCTGTCATTAGACAGGCCGTATGCGAGTTTAGTACCATCGTAGTATAAAAAAGCGTCTGCCTACCCTATCTGTCATCAGACGGGCCGTATGCTTATTTACCACCATCATAGTATCAAAAAACCTCTATTAACAATCAATACCACCATCGAAGTATAAAAAACCTCTACCATAAGACGGGCCGTATGCTTGTTTCCCACGTGTTTTTTTTAATATATTCTATTATATGTGTGTAACTCACTTGTCTGAGCGAGGTAGCCCAGCGAGCGGTTGTCCACCGGAAAGTGTGCGACCGTGGCACCGAACTCCGGACACATGTTGGCTACCGTTGCTCTGTCCGCTATGCTAAGAGCAGACACTCCAGGTCCGAAGAACTCCACAAACTTCCCCACCACGCCCAGGGAACGTAAATGCTGTGAAATAAATAAAAATTTCCTTAATCTATACATATAAATAAAATTGTAATATCTGTACGTAAGCCGAACAGTCCCCACAAGCAGCACCCGTTCACGAGTATGACAGATGAGCCACTCATCATTGCACTCAACCATATTAGAGGCACATTGACCCAGCCAGGGGAATGGAATTGTTAATAATGTGGACTAATGACCCCATTACTAGCAATGCACCATGTCAGGTTGACCTCCACGCGGTTCCCCCTGGAAACCATCGTGATAAATTCTTCGTGAATTTGTCACGATGGGCTAACTGACCTGACCTCACTGGTGCCCCGCCAGCGTAAACCATTAGCGCAGGCGGGTGCACCATTTCATTAACATATAAAAAAAAAACATCGACCCGGCCCACCACGCCGCTACAAGTTTGAACTTTATAGCGAGCATGACTGTTTCAAGTTACTCCACTAAGTCAATACAATAGTGTTCAAAATCTACCCTGTAACATCGTAAGCACAGATTATTATATTAGAGTCCGTTAGTTTTCTGTTCCCGCGCCTTTGCCTCCCCTCCCTTACCTAGTACTGAACTGACCGTACAGCGGGCTTGACGCGCGCGCGCATTGTGTTGTGAATTAAAATAAATTAGAACTGTGAAACCTACTGTGAAACTGGAAAGCTAGCGAAGATATCTTCGAGACCCTAATGCCCAAGAAATCCGCAGAACCATACAGGTACGTGACTGACTCTTCCACTCATTTTTCACTATATATATACAGAGAGTAAATTCCCTAACATTTTGGTAGCAGAGTAGTTTCCCAAACAAATAGTATTATTATTCACAGACTAAGTCACAGGAAGCAGCTAGTAAATAAATACACATATACCTTCGTAATGGTGAGGACCAGGTCGGTAGACGTCGCTAACGGGTTCAGCTCCCCGACCAGCTTGTAGCCCACCACTTTGGGTAGCAGCATGCTGATAGCCTGCCCCAGCATCACGGCTTCCGCTTCAATTCCTGATTGGGTACAAAATAGAAATAAATTAAAGTAATATATAAATACTATGTCCAGCAGTGGACTGCAGTGTGCTGATGATAATGATGATGATCATCTTATATATATAATTCTCGTGTCAGTTTTCGTTCCCATACTCCTCCGAAATGGCTTGACCGATTCTCATGAAATTTTGTGAGTGTATTGAGTAGGTCTGAGAATCGGCCAACATCTATTTTTCATCCCCCTAAATGTTAGGGGTAGTCCACCCCTAATTTTTTTTTTATTTGAAGGCAAAACAACGTTTGCCGGGACAGCTAGTATATATTATACAATACTAGCTTTTGGTTATATAATATTAGCTCGCGTTAATTTATTCTCTTAGGGGTGGAATTTATCAAAATCCTTACTATGGGGATGAATACGTCATAGTAGCTTTATGCATGCAAGTCTCAGCCCGATCGGTTTAAAATTGACAAAGTTTCATATAAACTTTCATCCCCTATTTTATCCCTTTGGGGGTAGAATTAATCACTATCCTTTTTTAGCGGATGCCTACATCATAACAACTACCTGCATACCAAATTTCAGCCCGATCCGTCCAGTGGTTTGGGCTGTGCGTTGATAGATCACTATGTCAGTCAGTCACCTTGTGAGTTATATATATTTAGATTATATATTCCTGGTTGCGAAGATAATAAAAATAATGTATGTAGATGCTTTTGAAATATAGATGGATGATGATGATGATATAGATGGATGGTGATGATGACGGTGATGACAGATGATAGGTATTTCATCATCATAGGGATGACATTGCCATTTCAGAGGAGCTTCCTCCGGCGTACACTTACATTGTAGAATAAACTACCTGCCGAGGTTTTTTTATACAGACTACAGTATGGGGTTTTTCAGGATGAGTATATTAAGGTTTCTTAAGTGTCGGTAACGGGCAGGTGACCTTTTACCATCAGATGCCAGTTTGCCACCATCGTTGTTTAAAAAAAAAACTGCATTATCTCATCCTATATTCAAAAGTGTAACAAGTGAGCTTCCGTGTAACAGCTTAGACCACATCATCACTTTACATCAGGTGAGATTGCGTTGACCGAATCTCACCTGATGTTAAGTGAGATTGCGGTCAAACGCGCTCAAATTATGATATAAAAAAAAAAAGTAGCTTATAAAGCTAGCTGCTTGGCGTCAGAAATAGTCACTATCCTTTATCTTTGTGCATGAAGTTAAATAATAGCCCCACTCACCACCAACGCCCCAGCCGACGACGCCGAGGCCGTTTATCATGGTTGTGTGACTGTCTGTCCCCACCACGGAGTCTGGGTACAGCGTATCACCGGAGAACACCACTCGCGCCAAATATTCCAAGTTCACCTGGAAGTGATACAGTGAGAGTAATGTCTGGTGATGACGGTGATAACAATGGTGTGATGGTGATGATATAGTAACAGTGGCATCATGATTTTACTAATGAAGACGGAAATTAATGATATTGTAATAATTAATAGAGTAAGGTCTAGTCTGGTGATAACGATGGTGTGATGATGATGTTATAGTAACAGTGGAGTCATAATTCTACTGATGATGTCAAAAACAATGATAATTGATGATTCAAAAACATACCTGATGAACAATACCAGATCCTGGGGGCACTATCAACATGTTATCAAACGCCTGGGCACCCCACTACAACAAAAATATTAAACATTAATAAATAAAACATTTATCTGTTATCAGTGTTACCATCACCGGAGAGTAAGTCTAAATTGAACACGCAGAGATTTTCTTTAATTTCTGATTTGAACCTAAAAGCATTAGGGGTAAGTCGGGGTAGCAACTACTAGTATATGAAACTCTAATATATGTACATACATTACTACCGTCTCGGCTTCGCACTGATGCATTTCAAAGATTTGTAATCTTTGAAATTCTCAACTAGTTCTATACTATAACACGCAAGTATTATACATATAAACCTTCCTCTTGAATCACTCTATCTATTGCTGAAAATTGCATTAAAATCCGTTGCGTAATCTAAAAGATATAAGCATACATAGGGACAGACAGCGACAGCGACTTTGTTTTATATTATGTAACTAGCAACTCGCCCCGGCTTCGCACGGTGTACACGTATTATATATATAAACCTTCCTCTAGAATCACTCTATCTATTAAAAAAAAACCGTTTCAAAATCCGTTGCGTAGTTTTAAAGATTTAAGCATACATATGGACAGACAGCAACAGCGACTTTGTTTTATACTATGTACTCGTAATAGTAAAGATTTACCTTTAAAAATTGAAATCTCTCCTTGTTTCTTTCAAATTCCAATTCTTGATTCTTGTTCAGTGCGTCCGGTCTGTAACAAAGTGTATAAATATATATATAAGAATAGAATAGAATAGAATAGAAATCATTTATCTTTCATTTATTATTTCATTTATCTTATTTATTCATCATAACAATTTGTTTTTTATCTACCACTCGTTCGGAAAGCTGTCTCATCACAAGAAGAACGAGCAAGAAACTTGTGTGTTGCTCTTTTAAATAATCCTTGTAAGTTTACATTTACAAGTCGAAACGTGTGAATACAAACTACCAACCAGCACTAATTTTTTGGGTCAAATATAATCATGCAATAAGATTAAATCAGTCGTAGTGATAAGATCAGACCAGTCCCTACAAGCAGCACTCGTTCACGAGTATGACGGATGAGCTAGCCATCACTGCGCTCGACCATATTTTAGGGAGCCCAATGACACGGCCCACCACGCTTCCACATGTCTGGACATTTTAGTGAGCATGACTACTCATTCCACACGACCACGTAACAACAATAATAGTTATTTATTAAATCTTTTATGCACAAATCTAAATATATATAACTGAAAGGTGACTGACGTAGTGATCTATCAACGCACAGCCCAAACCACTGGACGGATCGGGCTGAAATTTGGCATGCAGGTAGATGTTATGACGTACGCATCCCCTAAGAAAGGATTTTGATTAATTCCACCCTCAAAGGAATAAAATAGGGGATGAAATTTGTATGAAACTTTCTCAATTTTAAACCGGTCGGGCTGAGACTTTGCATGCATAAAGCTGCTATAACGTAGGCATCCCCTAAGAAAGGATTTTGATAAATTCCACTCCTAATGGGATAAATTAACACGAGCGCCGCGGAAATATAGATGCAATGGAGTTAACACCATGAGGTATTTTCTTGCAGTCAACCATTGCGGAAACGGAAATCTACGTAGGCAGTGCATTACAAAAAAAAATTAGGTATACCATATTAAAATAACAATTAAAAAAAAAATAATAATAACAAAGATTATAAACTAGTCCATAATCATATATAATACATAATATTAAATAAATAATTACACATATACTCAATATTTATAAATATATCTTATACCTCAGGACAATTCACACAGCGCCATCTAGTCCCAAGCTAAGCGTAGGGCTTGTGTTATTTTTTTAAGTGATAAGGGTGGTGTGGTGACTTGGCGGTGACTCTAAAATTTCTTTTTTACTTATTCGACATTTTTTTAGGTTTTTCTTTAATTTTTTATCAGTAATTTGGTAAAACATAACAAACCTGCAGTAACATATCTATACATATAAATAAAATTGGAGTATCTGTTTGTAATATTGAAATAACTGTTTTTTACTACATGCACATGAATATAAATACGGTACCTACACCAAAATAACATTTTTTTAAATTTATTTCTGTCTGTCTGGCTGTTTGTTTCGGCTAATCTCTGAAATGGCTGGACCGATTTTGACGGTACCTTTTTTGGTAGGTAGCCGATTTAATTAAGAGTAACTTAGGTTAGGATAGCTGTCTCATCACAAGAAGAACGACCAAGAAACTTGCGTGTTGCTCTTTTAAATAATCATTGTAATTTTACATTTACAAGTCGAAACGTGTGAATACAAACTACCAACAAGCACTAATTTATTAGAGTCAAATAAATAAGATTAAATCAGTCATAGTGTTTAGAGCAGACCAGTCTCTACAAGCTACGTTCACGAGTATGACGTATGAGCCAGCCATCACTGTTCATGAGTACAATATAATAAAACAAATAACTCACGTCCTAGCAAAGTCCACTTGCACGGAATGGTCAATGACCAGATCAGCTGGACAAATAGGGTTGATCTTCTGAGGGTCCCCACCTAGGTCCCGTACAGCATCACGCATGGCTGCGAAGTCTACCACTGCAGGTACACCTGTCAGATCCTGTAATATATCTATGTATTAGTATCAGTTGTCTAGTACCCATAACACATGCTTTAGCTAGCTTAACTTGGGTCTAGATGGCGCTGTGTGAATTGTCCTGACATTATTATTATTATTATTTTTTATCTCTCTTCTTTTACAAACTTAAATAATATTATTATGTTCCGATAACTCAGGATATACTAGAATTACCTTTAAATAAATTCAAAACATCTGTTAAATCATATTTACTGAGCAAGGCCTATTACTCACTAAACGATTACTTGAATGACGAGCGTGCATGGCAATGCACGGGATTTTCATTTAATGTTAGACATAGACACCTATATAAATATACATTGTGTAGTAAATATATTGGCTTTTAGTGTGTGTCTGTGAGTCTAGATGGCGCTGTGTGAATTGTCCTGAGATTATTATTATTATAATAATAATATATAATATCTGTCATACTCGTGAACGGGTGCTGCTTGTGGGGACTGGTCTGTTCAGGTTGCGAACACTGATTAGATTTTTTGATTTTTTTTATATAGCATATGCTGGTGGTCACTCTATTCTCCCAAATTTGAATTTAAATGAAATAGTATTATTGTAAATATGTACAACATTAAAAAAAAATACGAGCTGAGTTTCTCGTCAGTTCTTCTCATCTCGAAATCATTCCGAACTGACGGTAGATTTGACATATCATAAGAGTCTGTAATAGACCTACATGAATAAAGATATTTTGAATTTGAATTTGAATTTGAGTAACGTTATATTACGTTACATACAAACATACCTGCAATATAACCCGTGCGGGTTTGAAGGCAATTTCCACAGCATCCTGCGCCTGATTCTTCTCCCATTCGAGGACGTTCTGCACATCCTTCTCCAGTACTTGGAAGTTGTCGCAGTTCCTCACGCAGGACTCCAGAAGCACCCTGATGCTGTACGGGAGACGATCTGTGGCGGAAAATTGATTTATTTAACAACAAATGTCATTGTTATTACTTCATTTTATGCTAGATGGACTGACGATCTGGTCAAGATCGCTGGAAGGCATTGGATGCGAGCAGCGCAGGACCGATCGTCGTGGAGATCTTTAGGGGAGGCCTATGTCCAGCAGTGGACGTCTTCCTGCCTGAGATGATGACGATGTATGTGTTAGCGCCATATGTATTTTTTAATGATACATAATAAAAAAATAATGTTAGGGGTGGACAACCCTCATCACTTAGGGGTATGAAAAATAGATAGTAGCCGATTCTTAGACCTACTGAATATGCATATAAAATTTCATAAAAATCTGTCAAGTCGTTTCAGAGGAGTATGGTAACTAACATTCATCATTTTATGCCTTTATCCCATTATTTGTGGTCGGCGCAGTATGTCATTCTCTTCCACTGCTCTCTATCGGCCGTCATATCTAAACATACTCTTCTTTTATTCATATCATCTTTCATACAATCAATCCATCTTTTCTTAGGGTGTCCCATCCTTTTACATCTATCCACATTCATATAGTATGGTTCATAGTATAGTAACTAAATTCAGATTCAAAAAACATTTATTCATGTAGGACATTTTAGCCGCTTATGAACGTCAAATTTTTACATTATAATTTTATTTTTTTCCCTACCGTCCAGTTCGGTATATAGATCCAATTGAGAAGAACTGGCAAGAAACTCAATTGAATTACTTTTTTTTTTTTAAAGCCAGTTTATTTACAATGTATATTTATATAGGTGTCTATGTCTAACATTAAATGAAAATTCAGTGCATGAACAACTATTGCCATGCACGCTCGTCATTCAAGTAATCGTTTAGTGAGTAATAGGCCTTGCTCAGTAAATATGATTTAACAGATGTTTTGAATTTATTTAAGGGCAATTCCAACATATCCTTTGGTATCTTATTGTAAAATTTTATACCTATTCCCATAAAAGACCTATTGACTTTTTCTAAACCATACTTAGGGACAGCAAGTTTGTCTTTAAATCTAGTATTAATATTATGAATGTTGCTGTTTTTTGGAAATAAAGTCAAGATTTTTATGAACATATAGGATATTTGAATATATAAATTGAGAAGCAACAGTGAGAATATTTGCCTCTTTGAATTTCTCTCTTAATGAGTCACGACTCTTCATACAGTAGATCGCTCAAACGGCTCGTTTTTCTAACATTGTGACATGATAATTTTATATAATGAAATATAGAAATTCGGATTCTATATATATATAAATTATATAGAATGTAATTTTATTTTTCTAAAAATATTTTTTCTAAAATAACAATAGCCTATATTACTCCTTATTACATCAGCTACCTGCCAAAAAACGTGCCGTCAAAATCGGTCCAGCCATTTCAGACATTAGCCGGAACAAACAGACAGACAGACAAAAATTGTAAAAAATGTTATTTTGAAGTATTTACCGTATTTATATTCATATGCATGTAGTAAAAAACCGTTATTTCAATATTACAAACAGACACTCCAATTTTATTTATATGTATAGATGAACTTTGAACGCTGAAAGGCCGATACTGAAGGCCAAAGTGCAAATGTTTGTTCAAACTTTGGACGCACGATCAATGTTCAAATACTCGCTATGACAAACATTTTAACAAATACAACAAACTATCTACATATTATATTTTCTTTGGAGACTAAAGCAAATGTCAGAAAATTATACTTACTAATATTAATATTATAAATGCGAAAGCAACTCGCCTTCACGCCAAACTGATGAACCGATTTAAATGAAATTTGGTACACAAATAGTCTAGACTAGTGTTTCCCATCGTGGGGCCCATGTCCTACAGGACGATTTGATTGTTAAAACGGGAATTATTAAATATGAAATTCATCTATACATATAAATAAAATTGGTTTGTCTGTTAGTAATATTGAAATAACCGTTTTTACATGTAGCATATGATATATAAATACGGTACGGTACATACACCAAAATAACATTTTTTACAATTTTTGTGTCTGTGTGTTTGTTCCGGCAATCTCTGAAATGGCTGGACCGATTTTGACGGGACTTTTATTGGACGGTAGCTGATGTAATAAGGAGTAACATAGGCTACTTTTATTTTAGAAAAATTAAGTAAAATTCCACGCGGACGAAGTCGCGGGAACAGCTAGTATACATATATAATGCAGGATATATAATAGTATATATCCTGCATTATATCCTGCATTATATAACATCTATTTTTCATCCCCCTAAATGTTAGGGGTAGTCCACTACAAATTTTTTTTTTATTTTCAGGCAAAACGTTTGCCGGGACAGCTAGTAAGTAATAAAAAGTGCTTTTAATATAAAAAAATCCTTATAAAAAAACCTATGGCGGCCCGCTGTACAGAAAAAAAAATGTTTGGCTCTTAATTTGTAAAACGTAGACCGCTGCGCTAGACCAACGAGGCCGTCAAAATATAAATAGACTGATTCATCAATAAGAAAAACAGACAAATCCTCGTGCAACAGCTAGTGTATTAACTATGACTTTGTCTTAACATTAGGGGCCATCCATTAATCACGTGAGGCTTGAGGGGGGGAGGAAATTGACAAAATCACGAAATATCACAAGGGGAGAGGGCGGGTCCAGTAAGGGGCCGTTCAAGTATTACGTAAGCACTATAGGGGGGCGTGGGGTCTTTTCTTTGCTTATTTTGGATGACATGGGGGTGGGGGAGTCTGTATGATGATTACGTCATCGGTCGTAATTTAATTTTTTACACGAATGGCAACCCTCACATTGTCTTTGCTAAAAAAACAATACATTAATTGAGAAATGTTTACGTAAGCATGGGGGGAGGGGGTAAGAGCTTTGCTTACTTTTGCTGACAGGGGGAATGGGGGGTAAATAATTGTGATAAATCTGCTTACGTAATACTTGAACAGCCCCATAAGGAAAACAGACAAATCCTCGTGCAACAGCTAGTCTATTAACTATGACTTTGTCTTAACATTAGGGGCCATCCATGAGGCCTGAGGCTTGAGGGGGGGAGGAATTTGACAAAAATCACGAAACATCACATGGGGAGAGGGCGGGTCCAGTAAGACATCACGTGTATTTATTTTATGCCAATCATAAACAATCTGCAACCTTTCTGTCTAGACATTTCTATTGTGGTCCTTAATTTCATAATAAAATAAGATTATATTTTATACCTGTATTTAAAGATGATATTAAAAAAAATTAAGAATCTTTGTAGGCACTAAAAATACACGTGACGTTGAGTGGGGAGAGGGGCGGGGGTAGTTTTAAACCTCACCACGTTTCACCAACGGGGAGGGTTAAAAAATACTTAAAAAAGATCACGTGATTAGCAGACGGTCCCACAGTACAGGCAAGGTAAATCTAGACCATGAAGATGTCAATATATAAATAGAATATTCATAAATATAAGAAAAACGGACAAATTCGCGTGTTACGGCTAGTCTATAAATGATTTGACTTTGCCTTAACCTAGTACAGGCACGGTAAATTGTTATTGATATAATTTACGGATAACAGTTTCATGTTTTATGATTAAAATTGCCTGACCTCAACATAAACTTGAGATGTAAAGGTCAACATGTACACTACGCTTCATAAAACTTAACTGACCACCCAGATGGTAAGTGGTAAAACAGTTCATAAAAGAGATTCTCAATTAAAAAAAAACAAATAAAACTTAACTGACAACCCAGATGGTAAGTGGTAAAACAGTTCATCAAAGAGATTCTCAATTTAAAAAAAAAACAAAACTTAACTGACTACCCAGATGGTAAGTGGTAAAACAGTTCATCAAAGAGATTCTCAATTTAAAAAAAAAACAAATAAAACTGACAACCTAGATGGTAAGTGGTAAAACAGTTCATCAAAGAGATCCTCAATTAAAAAAAAACAAATAAAACTTAACTGACCACCCATATGGTAAGTGGTACAACAGTTCATCAAAGAGATTCTCAATTTAAAAAAAAAATTGCCAGACAGTTTACTTGGTTCCTTATTATACCAGACTCATCGAAACCGTATATTGGGTAACAACGGTGGATACAATTTCATATCAAATTCATTATTTTAAGATGCTCCATTTTTTCACATATTGCTCGTAACAGTATTATAACTTGCTCTGCTCGTTGTCGAGCCAAGAAAACTGTCTGGCAATTTAGGAAACTCGGTTTAATAGTTCTCTCAATAATATATATAAAGTTCAGCTTTATTAAAATGACGTAAGTTTATTTATAAAATAGTATAGTTTAGGGGGGTTCGGAGGGGGGTTGGAACCACACTAAGTGTCTGGCAACGAGCAGAGCAAGTTATAATAATGCTACGAACAATATATGAAAATATGGAGTTTCTTAAATTAACGAATTTGATATGATTTTTTTTACACCTTTGTTACCTGGTACCTGCCAAAGGAGCCACGATCCAGGTTTCATGTTTGGGGATCGTTCTTACCTGTGTTGGGGACACGCATACAAGAACTTTCACGTTTACTAAAATGACGTATGTCTGGCCGTCGTGGGCTCTTGCTCTAATACATATTATACATAGAAAACACCCAGACCGATACAATCATACTCATAAATACAAATGTTTGTGCCGTGCGAGGAATCGAACCCGCGACCATCGGACGTAAAGCGGTGTGCTAGACCGCTAGACCACCGAGGTCGTCAAATATATTGATGTGATGTTGGTATATATATGTGACTGTACAGAAATAAACGTACTGTTTAATCTGAAACGATAATAAGTTTATCAAAACCGTCTCATTTTTATTGCTTCTGATAATATTTTTAACTGAAGTGCACTGTTTTTAAATGATTTGATAATATATCATTCATTCATTCATAATTTATGAGCTACGCTCTTGTCGGTGGATCTCTTGCCACTTTCCGCGATCTTCCATCATGCTCTTAAATTCTTGATACGACACGACTCCCATTTTGTCCTCAATTTGTTTGATGTAGCTAGTATAAAACAAAGTCGTTGTCGCTGTCTGTCCGTATGTATGGTTAAATCTTTAAAAGTACGCAACTACTAATTTTTTGCCTACACTTGTAATATTTCTGTAAACACTCGACACTCTTCCATTAGTACGTCTCCAGTCTCCACTAACATAGATTTAAAATATTATCTATATATATTAATAATAATGATTTGTTTTTATCATCCTCCACTGGTGCCCCGCCAGCGTATACCGTTAGCGCAGGCGGGTGCACCATTCCAGTATCATATAAAAAAAACTGACAATAGCCAAAAATGAAAAAAAAAACCGTACTTACCATATTTGGCGCCAAAAGATGCAAGGTCGTAATACTTGTAAGTTTTATTGTTAATCTCAATTGTCCTCAGCAATCTCTCGTAAGGATTGCTTGTAGCTGAAACAAAAAAAACATGATTAGTTATGGTAGTATTAGATGCAGGGGCGGATCGAGAATTTGTGGGGCCCTAGTCTAAATCTAATAGAAATAGAAATAATCTTTATTCAAATAAACTCATCACAAGCACTTTTGTATAGTCATATTTTGATTCTACCACTCATTCGGAATGCAGATTCATCACAAGAAGAACGAGCGAGAAACTTGTGTGTTGCTCTTTTGAATATAACATGTTTTTTTTATATAAATAATTACAGTGCAACAAGTAAGAGGCATGCTATAATCAACATAGAAATTGCTACGCACTCATTATTAGTGTAATCAGATAATATTGTCAGTGCTATGTATTTAAAATTTTTCTACAAAAACATTATTATCGTTAACGAATTCTTCAATTTTATAGTAAGCTTTTTTGCAAAGGAAGTGTTTTATTTGACATTTAAATCTTTTTTCTGGCAGATTTATAACAGACTCTGGTATTTTATTGTAAAACCTTACGCAATTGCCATAAAACGAATTACTAACTTTAGCCAAACGACATTTAGGTAAAATCAGTTTGTTATTGTTACGTAAGCTTTTATTAGTGCAATCACTAACTCTTTTGAAACTGTCTATATTCTTCCTGGCATACATGATATTTTCATAAATATATTGAGAAGCAACGGTGAGAATATTTGATTCCTTAAAGCACTCTCGCAAAGACTCCCTGGAACCCATGCTATAAATGGAGCGAATGGCCCTCTTTTGTAAAATAAATATTGTATTTATATCAGCTGCTTTGCCCCATAACAAAATATTCTACAGGGGCCTACCTAATTATATTACTCAACTAAAAAATACACCGACCAAAACCAAGCGACCAGAAATTCGCCGTTCCTTTCGATAGACCCGTACGCATGGGTCGATTCAACTCAGTCTCAGGGTTATCAACCTTATTGTAGGTTTTTTACCACTCTAGATATTTTTTATATTCTAAATATCGTTTCAGTGGGGACCAGGGACCCTAGGTATCCTCTGGCCCTGGGCTGCAGCTCGAAAAGTTCTTAGGTAGATCCGCCCCTGGTTATATGAGTGTCTTAATCCCCTGAAATGGTAACCAGAGCACCAGAACCTGACAGTATTCTGTGACTTCTTGAACCTACCGATTTTATTTACCTATATGACAGAAGGGGATTCTGTCTTAATCCCCTGGAATGGTAACCAGAGTACCAGAACCTGACAATATTCTGTGACTTCTTGAACCTACTGATTTTATTTACCTATATGACAGAAGGGGATTCTGTCTTAATCCCCTGGAATGGTAACCAGAGTACCAGAACCTGACAATATTCTGTGACTTCTTGGACCTACCGAACCGACTTTAGTTTACCTATATGACAGAAGGGGATTCTTAAATCCAATGGAGTCATCTTTATTCATGTAGGTCTATTACAGACTCTTATGATATGTAAAATCAACCGTCAGTTCGGAATGATTTCGAGACGAGAAGAACTATTTATATTATTAACCGGGTCTTAACACGAACTAATTGTGTGGCAAATATGTTTCGGCTAGGTTACAGTCACCGTGGTCGTAGTCAACTCGTGACCACGGCTAGTGCATAGCCGTGGTCACGAGTTGACTTCGACCACGGCTAGTGCAAACTAGTCAAACCGTCGAGAGAGGTAAATACCTTTATTTGCCATAAAATTTGTCCGTGTTCAGACCCGGTTAATAATATAAATAGTTCTTCTAGTCTCGATAATATAAATAATGTATATTAAACAGGAAAGTTTAAAAATAACTATGAGAAGAACTGACAAGAAACTCAGCCCTTTTTGTTAGTAATGTACATAGACTGAGGCCCCTGTAAAGTATGGAACTAAAACACCGACTTATTTTCGCAAAACTGAGTGCACGCACTTATTTTATATGTGACAGCGATCGTCTGAATCCGACTACAATATTTTTTTTTTTAAATCACTGCTGTCCTTACTAGG